CGATCGCCCAGTTCGACCGCTGCAAGCAATTTTTGCAGATTCGCTTCGTCCGAGGTGGCTGTCCGTTTAATAATTGCTGCTTTCAGTGTGGTGTAGGGATTTGATGCCGGCATAGGATCAATCAGGTCAATAACCTCCGCGGCAACCTCGGTCGGGAGTTGAGAAACCACGTAAGAAAACATGGTGTGCTATGAGGTAATTCGGTGGAAATGGAAGTAACATTCCAGTTGAATAAACCATACTCTAGGGTTACTGACTCCAAAAGCTTGTAGTTTTACGTGAACGGCGTTTTCAACCAACTCAGTATTGAGTCCGTCTTCGTTAGACATGGCTGAAAAAAATTACTGGACTAAGCGTATGTGTGAGAGATATGGGAGTTCTGAGATAGCAAGAAAAATAGAAAACAGCAAAATGTTCGGGCTCACCAATTAGGTAGGGGTTACCAGCCCTATGAAGTCTCTAGTGAACTGAGTAAATTACTAATGTAAGCCAGATACAAAGTTACAAGGAGAAAAATCAAGTAAATCTAGATGATACTGGACATGAAAAAGAGCAGTTCATAAGTGCTACAACCCTGTCCCCGGAGCTGAGGCTTTGAACAGGTGACATGGGTTTTTGTTGGCCGCTGCAAAATGTGTAGAATTCATGTTCACGTCACCCTCGTTTGGAAAATCGTCCTTCTGTCCTGGCTTATTTACTCTGGTGGGACCACACCAAAGGGAAAGCAATGGACCCATTTCCTCTCTCATTAGGGCTGAGTTGCAGTGCGTGTCCTATGTAGCGTCGTAGTTTGAACTCCGCACATCTAACATGCAAGTCAAGCGTGCTACCACCACTCCAACAGTACACCCGGGACACATTTGAATTTCCGCGTCATGGCAGGCAAACGTGTTTACGCTTGAGCAATGTGATTAGCTTGCCCAACGCCTCGATTAGATTTGTCTTTTAACCATCATAGCTGTCGCAGAATGCAATTGCACTCTCCGTTTGACTACAAATCTATTTTGATGGGTATATGATGGCTGACTTTCCAACAAGCGATGCCGATATAATGTGAACGCAACTTCTCCCTGACTCAAAAGATTCCTGATGTAGATTTCGGCAAACCGCTCATCTCTGATCAGCTACTAAATGCTTGCGAGTTTCAGGAAACTTCATGAAATGAAATCATGTCCTATAACACTCACTGCCAAACCCCCTGTTCTGAGCAGCGGTTGATGACTTCTGTCAGGTAGCGAGGGATGTATCTTGTTCTGTTTATTTTTCCCAATCAGCTAGTTCTTCCAGAATTGTTCTCCGTAGCAAACGCAGTATCACTTCCTTCTTTGAGTCTCGGTCGAAATATAGTACACATGGCTTTGCACAGTCAATGAAGATTTTCTGAACATAAGTCGTGAATTGGAGCAGAGTTGCCACATGTGGACCGAGTTTCATCTAACTGGAAGTTTGTTGCGACATCGTACCATCGAATGGCTGCACTCCCTCGCAATTGTCCTATTGTCAATGCCAACGGCATTCTGCCGTGGCTGAGGAATTTCCAGCATAAGTCGTCTCAGATCTTAATAAACATGTGGTTTGTGATACGGAATGTTTAATGTCAGAAGGCAGCATAGTTGTGTGAGGTGATATGATATGACGTTTCGGAAGTCGTGGGCACCATTCTGCAAGGATTGCCACAGTCAGCTAAATACGGGTCAAACCCAGCAAGCGCTTTGTGGGTCCGCCACCATTGATTCTGACTGGCGAGTCTTGAGATCCAATCAAGATCAGTTAAGTCTGATCAATGTGTCCGTGCGTGTGTATATTGACCCTGAATATGCGTAGCATTGTGCGTGTTTGTGTGCTCTGACCGGAACTTGGTGGCTCAACCTCTATTTATGTTGACTGACGTCATACGCGTGTTGTGACCAAGATCTTGGTTTAGCATCCTGCCTCAATATCCGCTGTGGCATGCGATGAATTCCAGCCAGATAGCCGGACGCACCATGATCGCAGATCTAAATTCCACCCGTTCTCCAGGCGCGGGTGGTTCGGAAGACTATGGCAAGCGACGATCAACCTTTTTACACCGCGCGAGCGCCACTCGGACAGCAGTTCCAGCGCTAATTTCTCTGGCGGTAGAACTGATAAAACCGGTAGGTAACACTTAACTAGTAACGTACAAGTACCTTCTTCCACTGATGGTGATAACGGCATGCGCCCAGGTGCCTCTCAGTCACCTACCCTCAGTTCGGTAGCAAACAAGTTAACGTTTATTTCGCTGACCAAAACGATCCTACCATCATTGTTCTCATAATGAATAACCCTCATTTATTATCCATCAATTTCGGAATCTCACACATATGGCGTAAATTCTTCATGTACATGGCACACACGCTCAAGTTTTTGTCATCGCCGCAGACAGGTGATCAGGCCCCTATATTGGTTTGCCTGATAAGTTCAGAGACACGTGACCACCTAACTGGACATCCGTTGGTTGCCCGACTAACAATCCGAACCATAAATGAAAACCATTAAGACCTGCTACCCCACCTACCGCTATCCACTCGAAAAGCACGTGTGGCTCTGAAACACCTCATGGTTCTCTACCACATCGGTCTTACCTATTAGCCTGGATTTTTTCCACCCGACTTGAAGTATCTTTGACCACACAGATACCCTAGACGTCCGGTTATAGCATCTTATCCCACTATGCTATGTTCTGAAGTCATAGTTACCATATGTTCCACAAAATTTGTAGTCGATTGGATTCTGATTAGGGGTATTCGGTAGCATTTTCCCGCCGCCAGAGATTAAATAGTTGACTAAACGCATTTCTCGAGTAAAAAGTTCGTGAACGAGCGTTGTTAACATTTTCCAGCTGTCCGCGCCAGACCGTTAACAGGTGACCTTGTCACGTTGCTTTGCTCACGTGATGCAAATCATCCCAGCTTTCGCCACTTGTTCACACAGTCACCTTCCGTCCTGGTCGGCCTTGCTCTACTGTCTCTGGTAGCCGATAGGCTGGGGATCCAACAGCACATTGGTTAATCAAACAGTCCAATATGACATTAGAATAAGCTGGGCAATTCGGTTCCCTCACAGCACACTGATGATGTCACCTCAACCGTGATGAAACCTTTGTAACTAAATTGTCCAGCTCCCCGAACAAACCAAAAGCCATTACTACATCCTGATCTACCAATACTATCTTCATTTCCACCACATTATCACGCACAAAATTCTCCATGCGGAATTTGTTAGGTTTAGGTGAACGTGGTGTACACGCTGTGTTTGGAAAAGTCAGTCATTGCCTGGCCTCTCTGACGTGACGTTCTGACGGCCAGTTCGAGCAGGGAAACTGGGAGGTCTTCAGGTCTTCAAAAACCGTTATCTTAGAATAGTGGCTCATGTAGGTTGGTGTCGAAGAATCGGTGACTAGGCAGTCAGTAAGCAGTGGGGACTTCCATTCAAAGAAGTGTCCAGCGTCTTCAGGTCTTCAAAAACCGTTATCTTAGAATAGTGGCTCATGTAGGTTGGTGTCGAAGAATCGGTGACTAGGCAGTCAGTAAGCAGTGGGGACTTCCATTCAAAGAATGTGTCCAGCGCCAGAAGCTGCTTCTGTTAGACCATGTATTGCACATGTCGAGCCATCGTTCGGTGAATTGAGTGCTGTTTTTCAATTTTCAACCTTTGACCTGACAGAGGGGCATGAAAAAGATTACGAAAAATCTATATGCTGTCGGTGCCACTCCTCTTCCACGTGAAACCGCGTGATCCCCACTGCGCCTGGTTAGAAGCGCTGCAAGATATGGCTGCCAACCGATATCGGTGGTGTTCTTTTTGTCAGTTTCTAGCCGGATTGCCTGAATGAATGCTTGGAGGTGTAGACACCACGGAATGATTGTAGTAAGCTAGCATTAGGTCCCCTGCCCGCCTACTGTTATTCTTTTCTTCAAAATAAGGCTTTCAAATAAGTATGGGTTGTACAGAAGCGAAGAGTGAGTGTTGAACACTGATATTATGCTGTCGATGGAGGTGATGGTGCATGCATGGCGGTACGTTTTCAGCGAAAAATCAGCTGCTATCTTGTCACATAAAACTAGGCCACTTTTTAATCCTACCCTCTAGTGCATACGCAAGCAAGCTCAGCTTATATCTCAGTCTACCGCCACAAGATACGATGATAGGTCCCTTCTCGTCGCAATTTCGGACTGTAGTTTCTCATTTGAAATCACACAGTAGCAGTGCATCAAACTGATGCGGTGTAAAACAGAATACAGACAGCGTAATAGCTTCGTCCCGAAAGCCCATGAACAACAATATGCAGTGTGATTTGACGGTTAGGAACCTTGTCGACGGGAAGCGAGTGCTCTAAACATATATCTGTCACCTTGGTCATCCACGATCTCTAGTTTACTCGAACCTGCGTACCCAGCGGCCAAACTTACAACTTAATATTTTCTGCTGTGGATTCATTCGTTTCTCACACATTGGCACTCAGTGATACTAGATTTCCATTTCGTCTGCGGCATACAGAATGCTATCGTTAATCTTATGCATTCAGATCCCGGGTGGCTGAAACCTGATGGTCCATCAAACCGCTGTCTACCATGATAGGTTCAAACTTACAGAAATTCCGCTGATTGATTTTTCTGGTTCCCGTGGGCTAATAACACATATCTTTTCGAGTGATCATTCCTGACACAAATGAACGGTTAATTCACTGGCCTGAATACCTCAGCAGCATTTCGATGCAGTTAACTGCTTTGTGTGACCGAGTGGGATCACTTCACGCCCAAAAGATTCAGTCTAGCACCGGAACAAGCCACAGATTTCATGCATCTCGGTTCGTTTCGTATGGTCGGTAGGAAGACCATGGAATATGCTGTATCCCGTCCTGTTTTTCTGTTTTGTAGTATTGCCGGCTTCTTCTAGACTTGCACCTCTCAAACAGTGTTTATGCAAACAGCTTTAATTAGTAATAACACTTCGTAGGTTTTTTATGCTTCTTCTTCTTCTGAACCTATCACCTTTCAAGTGAACTGGGGTTTAATCATTATCATTATCATCATCATCATCATCATCATCATCATCATCATCATCATCATCATCAACATCGACAGCTCACTGGGTCGATGAGGTGCGCAAACCGTCACACCACGGTAAGGTCTAGTCTCTTCGTGACGGGGCTTAAGCACTCAACCAAGTGGTCAGTGGCTCACATCCACCACCCCAAATAAGCAGAAAGATTTGGAAGTTTTGCTTGATCCCTTAATATTTTCGTGGCAGGCATATGAGTTTATGCTACAGTGAATGAGACAACTCATTCACTTCATCTTGGGACTTCGACAGGTTGTCATATGGGTTTTCATTTAGGACGTTCTCACCTGAAGATGGTGGATAAGTTATTTGACCTTAACACGAAAAAGCAGTTTTACAAAGATTGCTACAAAGATTCTTGTTCAGTTGCCTCTGAGCTTGTGGTTGCGTGGCATCAGCCTGTTTGCTGTGGCATCGAAGGTGCTCTCTGGTCTTATCCTTCGAAGGTTGACTGAACACAGGGAGAGGCAGATCCGTGAAAACCAAGCTGGGTTCCGTCCTGCAAGAGGTTGCATCGACCATATCTTCACCCTCCGACAGATTCTGGAACAGCGACACTGCTTCCAGCAACCAACAATGGTTATTTTTCTTGATCTGAAAGCTGCCTTTGACTCTGTGGACCGCCAAGCACTATGGCATTGTCTGTGGAGCAAAGGTGACCCTCATTAAGGCGCTGTACGCCAACTCCCGCGACCGTGTAAAGGTCTACGGGAAGCGATCTCCTGAGTTCACCACATCCAGTGGTGTCCAACAGGGTTGTCCTCTTTCACCTTTCCTCTTCAACTTTGTGACTGATACGATCATGGAAGACTCACTATCAGCCTCTAATGCCTGTGGGGTCGAAGTGCTCCCTGGGCCTCCGCTCACAGATATCGAGTACGCAGACGACTTAGCTCTTCTGGTATTTGATCCCGTGGTAATGCAAACAATATTAAATAATCTAAATAATTCTGCCTCGCAGTTCGGCATGCGCTTCACACCTGCAAAATGCTACCGCAAGACTGGGTGGGCTCGAACCCTAGCCTCATGCTTGCGGATGAACCGATTGAGGTAGTAGACAAATTAGTTTACCTGGGCAGCTGTATCATTCCCGGTGGTCCGGTGGGCTATCCGGATTGGGAAGGCCAGAGCAGCTTTTGCGAACCTACGTCACCTGTGGCGTAGGCATGACCTTAGCTTCTCTGTCAAGGGTCGAGTTTACAATGCTGCGGTGCGCTCCATATTACCATACGGATCAGAAACCTGGCCGCTGCGCGCCGAGGACGTCAAAAGACTTTCAGTGTTTGACCATCGACGTCTTCGGAGCAATGCCCGAATCTGGTGGGAACACCGGATCAGCAATTCTGAAGTACGTCGAATGGTATTCGGGAGAAATAACTCACCCTCGATAGATGAACTGATCACACTTCACAGGTTGCGCTGGCTTGGCCACGTGTTGCGTATGCCAGTCGACCGAATTCGTCGAAGGGCTCTTTTCGCACAACCACGTGAAGGGTGGAAGAGAGCTAGAGGCGGTCAAACAATGACTTGGCAGCGGAGTATGAGAGCCATTACCAGCAAATTCAGCTGCGCTGGTCACTGCCGTCTTCCTGGATGGGGACCCCGAGACGGGCCACATCAATGGCTAGAGGCATCGTACATGGTCTGAAAGTGGTCCTAATTCCACCAAAAACGCTCAAACCAACTTCTTGGCCCATAGTCAAAAATTTACGATTGAGGTAATATGAATTCGCCTACCAGTCACAAGTAGTCTGTTAAGCGAACAAATTCAGTGTACAGCGAAATCCGGTGGCAGATGTTGCCTTAAACTTCGCTTAAGGACTGGTAAGAGCCATTAAGAAAGAGTAACTTGAAACTGCTTTTCGGGATTTCAGTTTAAGTTACAATGACTTGCAGGTCGCACTTAGTTAGTATGGGTCCAGACTTTCGCTACGTTCAGTATGGAAATATCAGCGGTAGAACTGACAACTTAACTTCTCACCGGAATGCCAAGTTATTTCATAGTCAGTGGTTTTGCACTCAATGGGGGAAGAGCGAAACTTCTAGTAGAGTTGTAGAAGAGTTGTAAAAGAGACGAAGCTTATTCCATTTTAATGTGAATCTGAAATAAAACAAGTGGTCAGGAAACCGATCAGGGCTGATACAAACACACATCACAAGTTACTTATGGGTGAAAAACTGCGGTGAAGTTTAATGATTGTCCCACGTGAATATGCACTTGTTCCTCCCATATGATCGTTGTAGTCTGCTAATCGCGGTATACGGACTCACAGTTGCAATATCGAGCCAAATCGACCGGCTGGATTGACTTGCACCAGAATTTATTGATTTTCTTTCATTCAAACTGACGCGTCTGTCGGCCTTTCCGCTCAACCAAGACCATTGCTGTGCAGAGCGCGGACCAACTGAACAAAGTTCATAAGAATTTTTTTAAAAGACAGCACGCGTGAGGTTCTGGTGACCTTGACGTGACCTTGTTCCGCAACGGCCGCTGTGAACACCTCTCATGTCAGGAGCAGAAATCCAACCCAGTCGTTTTTCACTGGGCACCAAAGTTTCGTTAATTACGGTTGCACAGTATCGTTATGAAGGCGTGGTGGCTGAAATCAATTCAGTCGAAGGAACCTTGACATTAAATGATGCACGATTTTGGGGAACCGAGAATCGCATAGCTGGAAGCCAGACTACCACTCAACATGGAGACAATAAGCCACCCCCAGTCGGCTCAACTTTTGATTCCATTACGTTCTGGATGTCCAGTATTGTGCAAATGTGGTCAGTGGAGGAAAATAAAATGGACCGTAACAACTTGGGTGATAAAGCGGTGGTAAAGGCGGGATTAGCTGTGGATACGAGTAGAAATAGAACCAGACGCCCTAGGCACTGGGTAAGTCCTTTGTTCCGTGGCATTGGTACACCCATTTGCATTTCTCTATGAACCGTATTACGATTGTACGGAGACGTCATTCCTTATTTTATTGCCGCCCTCTGTTTTTAAAAACACCGGGAACTGCGTGTGCCGATGTAACGAACTCGATTTGGTTGCGAAGCTATCCACAAAACTGAGCACTCGAAACAAGAGACAGGTACTTACCAGTTCGGTTTCCAGTAGCTGCACAAAACTTATTAACCATCCCACCACCACCCAAAATAAGGACCGTCACTTTAAACGGCTCATTTTACCGGTTTGTAGATCAGGTGGCTGTTAACCTCTTTGCCAGGCTTGGTGACGGAAGTCGGCAGGAAAAATACCAAGCTCGATTAACGGATAAGCAACACCTAATCTACAATCAGCTAATACACCAGAGCCAATAGTTTGTATTATTGTAGTCTCCCTAAAGAGTGGACCCTCTTTAGAATGGTGCAAATTTCAATGACTATGGGTGGCTTCGAGGGTAACATTGTGTAAACTTTGACCATTTGTCGATGGCAAAGCAATAATAATAAACAAAATGAATCTGGGTATGAAAACCACGTCTCGAGAGAGATTAATGGAAGTAGATCATGCTGATGACATCGTTTCGTCGACTGAAACATTTGATCCACTTTTCCGTGAGATGTAAGTAACTAACATCCGAGGTGTTTGTGCATCAGAAGAGTGAATGATTGACTGGGGTCGACGAAAAAACCCGTGATCAGCTGATGTCCTTAGTCGATTATTCAAGGTTAATTCAAGGTTAATTCAAGGTTTAATGGTCTAAAAAGCAATTAACTTTACAAGGACCATAGGGTGAACGTATATACACAAAGGGACGCAAAAATATGCGTAATGTTTACTGAGTATCACATAGAGTTAAATAGTTCCAGATTCGGTTTGGACACAAGATGTGCATCTAAATTGTTCTTGAAAATGGTTAAACTCGGCAAATGTACAACATTGGGAGGTAGGGAGTTCCAAATGAAACATACGCGGACCGCAAAAAAGTTCCGTCGACAGTTCACCCTCGAGTGAGGTACCGCGAGCGAAAAGTCATGCCTCCTGCCCGTTCGTGTTCGATGTCGGACAAAAAGGTCTTCCAGCGGATGATTAGGTGTCTTCAGTATATTATATGTTAGAATTAGGTCTCCCCTGATGCGCCGATAGTAGAAGTCAAGTAGGTTGAGACTGGCAATCCTGTCTTCGTATGGTTTATTTTGCAATCCAAATACCAGCTTCGTGGCTCGATGATATATTCGCTGTTGTTGTAGACGGTTGTAGACGAATCACTAGTTATCCGTTGTCTCCTGGAGTGCACCAGATACTTAGAATGTGTCCTGTGATTCTTTGAGAGACAGCCGTCTGTTCTACTAATGTGTCATGGCAACTGTAGATGACCTGATAGATAACACAGGGATAAAAAAGACCGTCCTCTCGATGTTGGTTAGTTTGGAGTTGCAGAGTCAAGGTGGATTGTTGAACCATCGAGAAAGTTCAATCATTTACGGCTGTTGGCGTTTTTATACTGCTTGCGAATATGCGATGCCCCTTAAATGGTAGTCTCAAGTCGGCTGTAGTTTTGTACAGGTTGTTTGTTCGGATAAAGCTCTCTGGATAACCATTCCTTATGATATTCCGTTTCAGGAGCTGTTCGTTGAGCAGTTCATCTGTGCCCTATAGAATTTTGACTAGGCGCGTTTGTAAGCCATTATGCAGAACCTGAAAATTAGATGTAGTGATCAATCCATGCTGTTTTACGGTGAATAGCGGGGGTTAGCGTGTTATCAGAACGTCTTCTGGGCAGAATATCTAGGAAAGCTAAGATTTCATTTGACTGTCTGTCGTAAGACATACTGGGTTGAGTCTTATTACGAAGAAATATAATAAAATGTTCTCTAGTGGTAAAAATCAGGATATCATGAAAGCAGTGTTCGTAAAGTTTGGCTCCAGGAGAAAAAAAGGCAGATGTTTTTGGATGAGCTGATCGAAATCATCACCCCCTTTAACATACGTTTCGCACCCACAACGTAGTACTCATGGGCGTGTAATTACCCAATACGCCACGTAAAATACAATTAGTTTGAATCACTTATAACGACAAGCCGGTGTATCCGCGGCATGTCTCAAGAGAGGCGTGTATCGGGCTACAGTACGTGCTGTTTTGCTGTATGGCTGTGAGATGTGGTCTGTGTGGAGTAGTCGAAATAAGACGTCTCCAGGTTTTTAATAACCGTTGTCCCAGGACCATAGCTCGTGTAAGATAGTGCTGGCGAATCGGCAATGAGACAATTAGAAAACGAGCGTTCGGTTTTGCAACAGGGACCCCAGTCGAAGAATGTCTTCAACACCAAAATCTGCGGTGGTTCGGTCATGTATTGTGCATATCGAATCATTGTTTGTCGAAACGAGTTCGGATTAGCGCGATTAGAGTGGTGGTCAATCCTTGACCCGGCTGAAGAGTATAAAGGTGATTACGAAAGGTCTTGGTACTATCGAAGTGGCTAGTTATCCGGGATGGGGTCTGCGTGGTCCCCCTTGTGCATGGTTGGTGGCCCGGAAGTTATGGCTGTGATTGATGTCAATTGTGCACTTGTTGTCAGTTTCTAGCCAGATTGTCTAAGTGAGAGCCTGGAGCTGTGGGCGCCTTGAAATTCGTTTGGTAGGCTAGCACTTTTCTTCATTACTTCACAATAAGTCTCTAAAGTAAATTATGGTCGTACGGCGGCAATTCGTCATCAGTGAACACTGATGTCCTTTTGTTGGCGATGATGACGTTGATGAAGATAATGGACCACTTTTTACAGTTTCAGAACGCTGCCAAATTTTCGCTAACTTATCCGACACTTCCTGTGGGTTATTCAGGTGTTCATCTATAGTTTTCTGTCGAACAGTAAAGCCACTAAGGGATACCGGATAAGGACATGTTACTGTAACGCGTTCTTCACGGACTAGTACAATCTGGAACGTACGTTTACCAAACAGTAAGGACAGTGTATGGAATACACACAATTCGGAGTATGCAAAAAATTCTGTTTTCGTTCAACTGTTCACGGATTTAGGCGAACGCGCAGTAAAGCCGAAAGATTTGGTATCGGTTTCCCTATTTTTTTCAGTCTGATGCGCTTCGCTATAGTGACAGTTGTAAATGTTTCTGTGAACAGCCCGTGTGTTTGCAATCTGGCCAATGTAGTAATAACTATCTCTAAACTACCCAAATGGCACTTATTACCCGACCCTATACGAAATTCCTTAATCGTGTTGCCTACCGCGGAGATTGACAAAGGAGATTCAATTGTAGCAAGGACTGGAAGACCAATTTAATCACTAATCGGAGCAGTTGTTTGTTTTGAAGACAATCAAGTTAGACTTGGCATCCATCGGAGATTAGTGACAGATGACCTGGAGCAGTGTAGTTCTTGTATCCGTGTTTCAGAGGATCACCGGAATGACGACAATATTGTAAATATTGTGTATCCGTGGGATGTTTTAGATGCTTCATAGTGCATCTTCATTCCTTCTCAAAGATGACAGTGCCTAACGGCAAGAGGGCACTTAACAGAAACGTTGTCATAGGAAAGGGATAATGATACCCTCTCCACGGGCTGTTCTAGTAACTGATTCCTCATTCACCAAACAAGAAGTGGGTCATCTCTCGGAAAATCCGTGTTTGCTGCTTTACATGTTGGTAACAGCTGGGAGAGTGAAACAGACGTCTAGGATATCCGTCAGTAAGATTAGTTAATTAGGTAGTACTTCAGAAACCTGGCCTTCTCCAAACTGCATTTCTACAACGTTAGCAGATCCCTCACTGACTAAACAATTCAGGGCCACTTTTGTCGGACTTTCCCAAAAAAGCTGTCAGGAAATAATGTTTGTCTTCCTTTGTCTTTGAGAGATACCCAAACGGAAGCAAACAGCCTAGGAAATGTTTTCACTCTCCTGAACATCTAAACTTTGAGCACTTTGTTTCGTGAAGGACTTCCATCAAAGGCTTTTCAATGTATACACGGTTTATTGGTACTACTTTTCTTTAAATGAATCTGTAACATTTGGAACCACTGCACTTCGGTTCACAGTTTGTGAGCTAAAAAACTGAACTGAACTGGACATTTTATAATTGAGGTTTTTCACCTGGTACTAATGGTGATTTAACTGGGACGGCTGATGCCATCCTTTAAGATAACACCGGTAACGAAATCAGCTGTACTAACATTATGTTCGTAAGTTCTTTATTAGAATTAAATTCGCATCCTTAAGCATTGCATTGAACGTTACATAAAAGAACGATTATACGTGAAATTGAAAAGAGATAATGAACTAGTTGATTTTTATACGGATCTGTAAACCATAATTCAATATCGAAAGTCAGAATTTGAAGTTTTATGACAATACTTCAAGTCTGACATTATATCTTAGTTATGAATGCATTTTTATTGCTTACTTCTTGATTGAGCTTCGGTTTTCATCCAGTTCTGTCCAACTGGAAGTTTGCTTCTATGATCGGATTGTTTTTTCCAATGCATCCTTCACGAAACGATCGAATAATCTCCTAAAATTTGTTCACCTTATTTGCTGTAGTCCAGCTGAACAAGTTGTTTATTAATAGTCCAAATCTCGGACAGTGGCTTACCTTCCGGCGTGCGTTTCAAAAAGCGGTTTAGTATTACTGCTCTCAAAAAAAGGCTAAGCAGGTTTTTGTACGCAGTTTTTTTACCAACCTTGGATCGGAAACTTGACGACTTTCTATTCAGCTATTCTTACACTTAATGTGACATAACTAAGTTTTATTCACTACTTTGAACCCTTTGTCTAGTGCACCTGAGATACCCAGTGATGTCATACTGACCGCTGTTGGAAAACAGGTGCTTTTTGGAAATATCAACGGACTGTATAAAGTGACTGGGTAGCAACGTACTCTTACAGCAAGTACAAGCTGTACAGTAGGAAAACGCAAGGTTCGCATTAGTTATGAAGGTATTTCTTCTGAAAGGAGGAAAAATGCACGTATGAGGTGAACCTTGATTGAATGATAGATATTTCACATAAGCATCAGGGTATAATTCGGTAAGATAGGCTTACATATGGATGTCACGTTTGTACAAATTCCTGACGGAAATGGAAAGACTGATGCAATTCCATGTTGATCACTACGGATGTTGACAGCACTCATACTTTAGCAAAACTTGGAGTATAGGGAACGTGAAAATGGTAATGAATTCTTGGTTTTCTGTGGTCAAACGACCACTGTCAAATAGGTAGAGTCAAGTGAAACTAGAAATTAGCCTCTTCAGTGATTGAAAAAGCCGTTTTGGAAAATGCTGGCGTATTCTGCCAGCAATTGGTTGTGGTGTTCCTTAACCTAACTGACTTGACAACTGCTGATAAAGGAATGAATCTATGTTTCACTGACGACTGTAGACAACCTGCGACTATTCAACCGACTCGTGATATCCTGTCCCGTTATTGCATTACAGTCAACTTTTTCTAATCAACCACAACTACAAGAAATTCCGGTAACTTGCTGTTCCTGTTTTTTTTTCAACAGATGTTCTGAATAGGAGTAAGGAAGGTGCAAACCAGTTCGAACAGCTTGATCACCTTAAACACAAGTGAATGACTATATAAAAGGGACAAAATCCTTTACCCATAAGATGTACATTTTTCATAAGAAGCAATATGAAGTTGGAATACATCCCCTGAAAATTCTTTATCGGGGATCCAGTTTCATGCATCTCAGATGGTCTGAATCGAGGTGGAGCCGTGATACAAATGTGATGGATAGGCGGATCAACAAGTTAAGCAAAATGGACATAATATCCTCTGTTAGTTTCTTTGGGTTCTGTGGCTCCGAGTTAGTTTGTTCCTTCCTTTGGCTTCTAATGATTTACAGGCAGAAGACAGAATGTTCATTATCATCGCTCATCAATAAGTCATGATTTCTATGAGCAGCACGCTGGTGAGTCTTAATATTAGGGTGTAATTAAACTAATTTAAATAAAATGAAGCAAAAGCCCTTAGGTTACATGAGCTTTGGCTTTTTCTTAGCGATTGACGTGCCTAAAAGTTTCTATGGGTAACAGATCACAAATTCAATGGAACCAGAAAATGGTTAGGACCTATCCAAGGACCTATTCTGTCCCGTCTGTCTTACTTTGCAAAGACTTCGTCGCCGTAAGCGGCATAGTTGGTACATGTTTCCTCAAGGACTCTTTAGGGCGACGAATGGTGGCCCAGTCTATTACCTCAGTGAACAACTGTAGGTCAGCAGCACTGGAGCCCGAAAACTACCACAAACCAACCATCAGAGTGCCAGTAACGACCACATGAATGAGGATAACATTGCTTATAGTTCACAGAAAATCACCAGTGACAAGACCGTATGGATTTAAGAGGCAGGTGCCGAGGCCACAAACGACTTTGCAACCATCAATAAGAACACAGTAGTACTGTCATTAATAGTACTTGTGTATTCTTATTGGCCCTGTGGTCTTACTGGCCCTTGACCATATAATCTTGTAAACCTCAGACTTCTTCCGGACATTCTGAGGAACAATCTGTCAGTCACACCTGGAAGACTCTACGGGATCAATTTAAGGTACAGAATTGGGGGGTGGAGATCATCTCTCCAAATGCAGATAACATTCAGCGCGCACTAAAACGCCCGGTCATGAAAATCTATCCCCGACAATGCTAGATAATTTTTGACACTGCACTAGTCGGCCTGATTGGTTCACTGTGGGACGATGAGAGGAAGAATTCAGGATGGAATACTTCTAGTCTACCTCTCGAGTTCTTGCTGACGTATGAAAACCATGGCTCTCAGGTGACATAACTTGTCAATCAAGCGTGGAATTTACGGTGTTGTATTGCACCCCCATACTCTCATACCCCAAACAAGGAAACTCCCGTGCTTTTGAATACCAGTGTCGCCAGGGCATTTCATTTGTTACGTAGGAACGTCCAGTCGATAACTCTTATGTGGATCAAGCGATTTACACTCAGTATTCGAGTTGACAACAATCCACAGCCATAGGACTGCTGCCCTCGGAGGAATTCTCTGCCAGCGTTGAGTTGGAATGAAGCCCATAATCCTGCAACACATGTGTCGCAGGCAGTCCTAGAGTAAGAGAGAGAAGAATGTGCAACTCTTGGGTACCCATAGGTAATTCACGCACTTCGTGTGTCCAGATCTCTTTCACTCTCCCTCCTGTGTGTTGAAAATATATCTCATTGAATTCCACGTTCTAGTTGTCCCAACTGTGATTTAAAACTTTGGTTGATCTCACCTCCATCCGTTTGTATTGGTACTCTCAAATAGGCACATGCTTAGTATTGGCTGATTTTCCCGGCACAGTCAGCTACCAATACAAGATTTATGATAGCTTATGGACCTGGTAACAAAAAATTCAACAGTTGCCTCTACATCTCAAGGCCTTGGCGTACTTTCTGTTTGTATCCTTTTCTGGTTCGATAACGAACTGTCGAGCTTTCAGTGCATAAACCACACATGAGTTCAAACGATATTCGTACCCGCTGTATGCACAGGGAATTACATGATTCGTGACGTTATTTCGACTGACTCGAAATTGTTTTACCATACTGTTCGGTTGTCGTTCAGACGATCATTCCTCTCACAACCGCAATGCAAACATGAAAACTTGTATGATTCACGCTTTTGGTGCTACTGTTAGTTACAAGACCGTGTCAATGGTCTCCTAGTACCATATGCTCCTCACGTATACTCATTTAGATAGTAAACTGCTCACACGTATGGTAACTGGTTTGATATTAGCATTGTCTTAAAACGGTTACCGAAAGACCCGGAAGCATAAAGTGGTTCTATTCTCTTCTTTGATCAAATATTTTTCTGTGGCCCGTCAACTTAGCATACGGGATCAGCCAGATCCCTCTCACGTAAGCTATGGTGAAGCCCGAAAATTACCGCTTTGAAGATACCGTATTATCTTCAAGAACCAATGGTTAGTTGGAACAAGCTGTGAGCATACTAAAGTTGCCCAGCAAAACTGTTGACTGTGGAACACAAATAATTCTACAATATGCTTCATAGTTGGACAAAAACAGAATTATCTGGTTTTGTCTAGCGATTTAAGCCAGCTGATTCTCTTGAGGTAAATGGTTATATTGCAACCAGTTAATTAAACCTGGCAAATTATGATGAACTGTTAGTCCATGTCTTATACCTAACTCATTTGTGTCTATTTAGTGGCCATCGGCTGGTGATCAACAGCGACCGGGTATGCGTGGGAGCCCCTCGGTTGTCATGGACAATATGAATGGAATTCCCGTGCAAGTGGGTCGTTACGTAAATCCTCCGATTCAGCCGATGATGTCTAATCCGTCACGAAGACTTGTTTCATATCCGCGTCGAAGCCGAACTGCACTCATGCCACCGAGACAGCCAAACTATGTCCCAGTCTTTCCGGTCATGGCAAGTCCTGGTGGTGTATATCGACCAGCATACAGAACCACTATGCGTGGGCCACCCTACCGGACCTTAGCAACGCCTATTTCCAATGGGACCAGTGTTCCGAGGATAACAGTAAGAAAACCCGGTCCACCAATGCGTCGAATGGTCCCAAATGGAGATGACCGGCGGTATAACCCTATTCGCGGTTTGAATAACAGTGGAGGGATGCTTGTATATCTACCGCCTGAAATGGCCGCTGCCTACCAATCGCAAGGCACCAACCTTGTATTAGCAAGAGCTCCGATGGGTAGAAGGAGGCTCATCGAACGCAGAACTGCTTCACGGGCCCCAGGGGGTATAGAACCAGGTAACGTTGATATAAATTTGATTTTAGCGGATTCCGTTATTCTCTCCATGTTTATTCTCGTCATCCAGATTTGTCTGAACTCAACCAAAGTCGGAAGGCATTACAATGCTACACTCTCACGTTGTGTAAGGCCCATTGGTAAGGTGAACAACTGGTTTTAATTACATTCCAGTGTCCAATACCAAGTGCACATCAGGCGAGTAGTGCCGCAGTTGATTCAGAGTGGGAGGCTGATTCACATAAGCTTACTTCGACAAACGTCGTCGATTGACCGAAGCCACAAACCATTACCTACTCGCTTCAGTCACATCAGGTTAGAAATCGACGTCAGCGTCACTAATATCCGCTGACCACTACCCCTCTCAGTGCCCACAGACAAACACTTGGAAGGGGCACATAGACCGATCACAGACAAATACCTGAATTAATGTGAGAGCTGGAGACTTCATTGTTGCTGTTTATGCACCCATATCTTTGTGACATTGTATATACTTGGTGAAGTCAAAATGATGCCTGTTTGATTTTGATGTTCACCTGCTGGTATTCATTTTAGAACACCTGGCAGTGCGAACGATTGTTTTTGAAAAGGTTTCCACTGGAATGTACGGCTATGAATGAAGCATACAAATATTCGCATGAAATAATCAAATAGGAACAAACTAGGTGATTGATGGTGTGGAAAAAAGCTGTATTCTTGTTACTCAATCAGGATGGATTAGACACATTGGTTGATCAGCCGAAGAAGGGTCCGTAACTTCATGCGACGCAAGGTTTGTTGACATCAGCAGCTGCAAACGCATTTTATTTTATGACTTTGATGAAACAGCTAACTGGGCAGCTAAGCCGGCATGGTCGGGTACTTGTACGGGCCAGGTGAGTTGCAGTCGCGCCTACCACCTGCGTTGTTTGTCCGGTTTAACTGCATGAATGCATCTATTCAGGTCCAACCCATTATAGTGTGTTCTCCTGTGCTGTCTGCTGGTGTTGATATCAATGAGGATGACGATACCAAACGTGGCTTCAGGAATACTCGCAAACCAATGAACACACGGCGACAGAACAGGCGACAAAGCATCGGCCTCGAAGACACCTACCGACATCATGACTCCCTTTGAAACGAAAACAGCTTCTGAAATAGTCAAATAGAAACCAATCACCTCCATCGGAGATATACTTATTCTCGCTCAACTCAGCAGCTGAGCAAAAAACAACAACATCAAGGACACACGACTTCTCTCTGGTGACAGTTCACAAGTGAAGAGAAAGATTGAACACTTATCTCAAAGAACTGCTGACCACACACAGTCCCTTGGTAGAACCAGAAAAACAATAGAGCTTACCATCGGATACATCCGTTCGACATGTCCAGTAGCATCAGGTTATTTCAGTGTTAGTAGACGAAACGTGCCAGCAACATGAGGGCCACGCTAATCGACCACTCCAATCAATCTTGGACCCCATAATAATCGACCACTCCAATCAATCTTGGGACCCCATAATCGTTACATGATCGATCCCTCTTTCCAATCCTAGTTATGTGACTATAGTATTACCTCTCCACTGTACACTTAACCATCCAGTCTGCCATTACGAAAACATTTCAACAGTCTACGCTATTCGTAACTGTATTCGTTAATTGTAACTTTATCGGGAAGTCATCTTTAAGACAGGGATTATCAGATACTTAACTAAATGTAGCAGTTTAAGCGTACTTATTCCCGTGTATATATGCTTATAAAGTTTACTACCCGTTGGACTTTGTGAAAAGTAGTAATCCACCAGGATTTGTGTCATCCATCTAAGGATTTGTGGTTGTAGTGTTGTGAAGCTGCATGGTAAACTCCTTTCCTGTAAGATATTCGTCGCAGAGGAGTGATGGTATCTAGGTTTTGTCAGCCTGGAGGTCTAAAAACTTCGTAGTATGTAACAAAACTTTGTGCCTGTGGTGTTGTTGGTGCTATCCTCCGTCCAGAATATGACCAACGTGACCGTCCCTGTGCTTGGCTGGAGACAGGAGAAGATATGGTGGGCAACTAATGTCTGACCTAAACACCCTCACTTTCTACCCAGGTTGTTTGATGTTGGTACCACGAGTGGTTGTGGTAGGATGATCGTTGGTCCACCTCTCTCTTCCATCCTTTTCTTCTTTCCATCATAAAGTTTCATTAGAAAAGATTGAGATGGTTTTACGGCAGTGAAGCACAGTTTATCCACTGGTATTACCGGCAATGATGATGGTACCTGGATTTGCGAGTCACCTAGTGATACTGCTAAGTTGTTCGTTTCGTAAGCTCAGAAGACGCCACGAAACAGTAGTCCAGATGAAAATGGATTTCCGTACGGATATCTTGCCAGAGCAAGGGGAAGTTCGGATCATTACAAACAGCACTGAACCTGTGGCCGCTGGAAACAGTTATCTCAGGATGTTTTCTGATTGTTTCATCCTTATCGTTTCACATCCTAAATGTTTGTATAAATTTGGTCAGTTAAGTAACAGAAGAATGCATCTAGTCAGTCCTGCGCAAATTCCATTGATCAGCTAGCGTCTGTGAAGCTATCTGACCGGAAAGTCCTGACGGCCAGGTCAAGCGACAAACAAAAGTTGCAGAGTAGTCGTTCGAATCGTTGGATAAACCAGCCACATCAACAAATCATGAATACTCTCGTCTGTTCAGCGGAGATGATCTAGGTTCATCCAGGATACGCTGGTAGAGTAAAGGTAACGCACTCGCATCGCACTTCCGGTGTTCAGAATTTGACCCCCGGCAATGTGAAGAATGCAAATTGCTGGCGAACTCTGATGGGAGCTAAACGCAGGTTCAGTGGTTTGGCGTGAACTCACCAGAATAGTTACACCAGGAAAGAAGGATTGTTGAAGCGAGCGGAACTCAGATGCGACCTGTGAACTGTGCCTTATTTGGTCAGTACTTCATACATTAGGTGGTCTTTTCATAGGCTGCGTTGGAATTCAAACGTTCCTTGTTCTCCTTGAAGTATATATATAATATATATATATATATATATAGATAGAGAGAGAGAGAGAGAGAGAGAGAGGGACAGAGAGTGTTTGTCCGAACCTTCCTAAGAAACCTATCTGCCTGACGTTCTGAAAAATTGGATACTAGGACCTCTTAAGTAGCGCTTACTTTTGTGAGTTTCATACTTTCCACCCTTCAGATATAGACTGTACCACCCCATACGATTTTGAAACTGCCAATGCTGAACTAGAAGCTGAACTAGCGAAAATCACGATAAACGCTGACGGGGCTTCTACGGTCATTGGTGGGCAGCCACAGCAGGCGGAAGCAAACGGTGGTGCGCAAGTTGGCAGTAATGCAGCCTCCTCAACTGGAGATGGACTGAATGCTGACATCCGTTCTCCGTCATCCACCGTCTCTGGAGGAGCTGTACCCAACGCAGCCGGAAACGGAGCATCCGGCGATTCATCCCTTGGAGCTGTGACCTCATCTATGACAGATACTGGCATCACCAATGCACAGACATCAACAGAAGGGACTGGACTGCTGGCCAAGTGAGTGATCGTGTGGGCCGAAATGCAAAAATTCATAGTAAATTTTGTGTTTCACCAGATGCGAAGTTAAACTTGTTTGGCTACTGCGTTAGTTATTTACGAGATTATTCGTGGGCTTATATCCTGTTTGTGTGAGAGCTGGGATACTGTCACTTGAAAAACACAGTAACTGACACAAAGATTTAACACGATAACTCACGGGACAACCTTCAAATGCCCCACTCCGATCAAAATGGATGGATGAATTGGATAATGGGTTGGCCAACTACTATGCCATCCCTTTGAAATGTTGACAGACATGTTGTCCATGTGATCACCGTTCAGTATGACTATGGTTCCACCAAAATGAAATCAGAATTCTAAGTCACCCGCCCATTGGTACAGATGGGTCTATGAAGCAACTTTCATTCGAAGTTGAGAAGCTTACTCGTACTAGACAGAAGATTTCCATACTCTGTACCTCTTGGATAGTTGATCTTCATTCCAAGGGTGCACGAGCCAACCCTTTGTTATCTAACTAATGAGGATTGTGTAGTTTGTGCTTCACAATGCCTTCATGTGGTGGTGACCTATAAGCCAACTCTTCTTCCACCTGGGTAAACAGGGTGCTTCCTCTCGAGGGTATGCAATATGATTGCTTAAACACCGTTGACCTACAATTTCCAGTGGTTTCGAAGGCATGGTTCTTCGGTTGCTCAAGCACTGTATATGAGAGTATATCTTGAAAGTTGCTCCGTGTATGAGTGTAGAGTTGTCTCACGTCCCGTGAGCTCAATATTAAGGCATCATCAAGTCTACTGACTATTCGTGTTGATAGATTTTATTTGTAGCACATACCTCCATCTTCCATTAACCCCTTATACAAAGTACGTTTGATCTGCAGCAACACAGTTATTGCGTAATCTAAAACCGTGCTCATCTCTTATGAGTTTGTCCCATACTGGTTTGTCGTACTTTTTGCCTCCGTTAGTCAAGTCCGTTCCTATTTCATAACACTCGAGATGGTAAAGTTTTCACATTTATGACGCTTCCCTGTAGAGAGCCCATCAGCGCAGATCCAATGGCCACACACCTTTTCAAATAAGCACCCGCCCACCATGGACACATGGTTTTACTCAATACCATAATCGAAAAAAGCCAGTGTTAGAAGTGCTCAAATGGAGTCTGTGCTGAGTTCTCCTAAAGAAATATCCCAAATGGGATTTAGCGCTGGGATGTGGGAGAACGTAAAATATGGCTTGCTACAGGTGTGAATACTCAATCCCCCAGCCTAACTCACCGACTTTTTCACCATGTTCCTACCCTGTTCCACCGGTGGTCAACTGATTCCAATGCATTCTCAATCTCGAAATTTCACGAAAATTGACGATAAACCATCATGATCCATCTACCCACGCCACCATAATCGATTCACACATCCGGTCTTCTCTACTCACGGCTGCATCGTGTTCGGACAAGAGTATGGTCCACCTACGCACGGATGGAAGCAATGGGAACCGGAACTTTACGTCATGCGAGTTGAGCACGTACACATGAGGCTTGATTCTTGCAGAACTGCATCGAAGATCGATTCCTTTTAAGGCGAAGAAAGCCGTAATGCACCAACGCATCCATCAAATACCCCTCTAGCACAATGTACGGCTTGAACTGGCCACTGAGAGTTTAAGCACAAGTATGATACCAGCCAAGGAAAGATGGGGAGTAGCTTGAACACATTTATATATGTTTAAAGAGAAATTGGTCTGCTGGATGGTTCGTGTAGGAGGTTAAATTGAAATGATTAGTTGAGCTCAGATAAATAAACAGAATGAAAGATGGGCAGGCAGGCTCTGAAGTGATATGGTTATTGGGCAAAACCACGTCGTAAAATTTTTGTTCAGTAGTCTGAAAAAGTCCCGGCACAAAATATAAGGACCAACAGTCCCTAATTCACTTCACTTTTTAAACCAGTGATCGTTCACAGATGTAGCCTTGCTTCGATTGCCACAGCATTGAAACATCAAGCCTGAAAGGTAATCGCATTCGGTCTTATCAATGGGAGCAAATATTATCACAACATTCTTCAAAATCTGAATTTAGCTCTGAGGCCTTATTGGAATAGCAAACTGAATAATTTTGTTCGGAATTGCTTGGCATGTGTTATATTGCACCAATCTGACCTGACGAACTAGTGCGACGTAGCTGTGATGGTAAAGAAAAATTCGAACTTCTGTCCATAATCTAGTTCGTATGAACGTCCCCGGTTCGCATTATTGTAGGTCCTACGATAGCAGTCGATACACCCATTCAATTATTTTTTAGAGGTGAATACTACGTCCGAGAGAAGTGCTTTTTCGATCAGATTAGCCGATCGGAAACCGGACCCCGAGGACCTTTTGGGAACAGCACAGGACGTGCAACATATAATTCGGTGTTGCACAGGTGCGACCAAATCAACAGCTACAACTCAGGCTCTGGTTTAGGAACCAGTTCAGTAGCGGCCGCTCGACGTGAACGACAACTCAATATGGAAACTTTTGGCTCAATGGCTGCACAAGCGACATTTGCACCTCGACGAAGACCACCACGAGAATTTCTGGTGTCTGCATCCGCCTGATTTGGAGTTTTGACATGGATTTCGCAGACGAAACCCAGTTGACCGAATTCTTTAACAACATTCCTGATGAATGCAAGGCCTAAAATTTTGGTGTCATGCTGTTCACATTCCCAAATTTGCACTTTGTTTCTTGGCGGTCCGTTTCTGAACCTTGAAAATATGGTCAAGACACAAATGTATCAGGTTCCATTTTGTTTGTATTTGTGGTTCTGTCAAACAGTCGATTTGCGGTTGAACTTTTTGTCTAATTATATTTAAAGCTCTGGGGTGAAAAGAAAAGAAAAAGAGTGAGAGAAGGAGGTGGCCTAGTGCTGGCCTATATCAAGCGCTCTGAGGTCCCTACACCTCCAAGCGCTCAATCAGACAAGCCGGAAAGAAACTGACAGCACGCACGCCACTGACATCGATTAGCCACCACTTCTTGCAACGTCTCCAGCCAAGCACAGACGGGGTCACGGGGATCCAACAACACCCAAAATCTTCGTGATCTCTTTCACGCCTTTCCGCCAAGTCATGTGTTGTCCACCTCGCGCTTTACGCCATTCTGAAGGAGGCGTGGAGAATAACATTAGTCTCGGTAGACAGTGTTTCGGCATGCGTGACTAAACCATCGTAGTCCGTGATCCTGGATGTTTTCCCCGATTGAAGTAACTGCAGCACAACTAAATGCCTGTTTCCTAATCGCCTCGTTACTAACACGCTGATGATATCCACAACCAGCCACGCTTCTGAAGCATCGGTGGCCAGATACCTGAAGACACATATCATCTGTATGCAGAGGCTACGTCTCGCATCCATAAAACAACACAGCCCTTACTGTAGCCTGGTACACACGACCCCTAAGATCTAGTGGTGTGCCTTTTTGACGCCACAAATGACGCAAGTCAGAAAAGGTGATTCAAGCCTTTGAGATCCTCGCACTGACTTCATCAGATACATTTCCGTCAGAACTATTACAACTACCGAGGTACGTAAAACTCTCCCTGAGGATTTCAACGACAGTGAGAGGCCAAACACTGGGCTAACCAGTTGCTGGTGACAGCACCATATACAATACAGTTATTCAATAAAGAGGATGTGTGAGGTGCTGGAAGTGTTTGACTTGAAGGTAATTCTAATCAGGAGAAAACATCTTCTCAAAAGCATCAGAAAACAGCATGCAAGGTTCTAGGAAACTCCTTTAAAGAAGATTTACTTGTGAAAGCTTAGCCGCGCAATAGCGCGAACTGGTGCGTAGGTGAAAGTGCGGGCTTTTGATAAGAAGGTTCTAGAGTTGATTCCATTGACTGATTCCATTGATTTTATTAGGTGTGACACAAGTGGATTGTGGCTAGACGTTTGTGCCACCACTAAGAGAAGCTCATTTGAATTCAAGTATCCCGCCCTGCAATCTCTGTTATGCGGTCAATACAGGGTGCTTGAAACAGGCCGCTGAGTAATCGATACGGAAGTTCGAGTCACACGTAAGTTTGACGATCCCGAATATCAGAAGTAAGAACTGAGTTCGGAAGTCCATGGCACTGTTTACATACAAGTAATTAAAGGCATACAAAAAACCCCAACTGTCGACGTTCCTCGCATCAGCAAGTGTGTAGCGTCCACGTCCGCACGGCGAGCAGGATGTTGGCTCGGTGGTGTGTGTTGTGGTCGTCAGTTCTGAAGTGACTGGCGGTACGATCACGCGAGTGTCAGGGCAGGACGAGTATAGTCTGGAGGGAATGGTCCTTATGGCAATGTGAATAGTGAGTATGAAAGCCGTGAAGGAGCGAAACGGATGGAGATCAATGTGGACATAAGCGATAGGGGGATTTTCATACTGTCAAGTTAGGTTCAATACAAGCATACGAAGCAGTGTACTCAAAATCCACTGTTACCACACATCAATGCAGTGTCTCGCTTTATTGAAAGGTACATCCCTTCAACCTCAAGTGTGTCTCTCCATTTTAGAATAAACTTCATATTATACAACTTCTGCTGTACCTCAGCTATAGGTAAACGAATTTTTTAGGACAGCTGATGTACCATCTGGTTTTTCGCGTGATAAGTACTGGACTCGAGTTTCGCTCTTATTAGACCCTATCAGCAGTGCATATTCGTGTCCGTGACGGTGTTGGAACTCCGTACATCTGGCCTTCGAGGCCAGTGTGTCACCACTAATCCGCGCACGCTGAACGCGTCTGAATTTTGAAATCTTAACGGGTGAAGATGTTCACTCTTGAGCTATGTGGTTGAGTTGCCGACTGTTCGGGCGATGACCCACTAACTGTCTTGGCTGTCGATCGATTTCCCATTCAGTTGGCGCCACGGGCGCGTGAAACCTGCTGGAAAATTTGTTTGTTGATTTGTTGTGCGTGTTTGAGGGGTTTATCGAATTCAAGTTCACATCACTAGTCAGTCATGTAGTCCGGAAAAAAATCCACCTTGGGTAAACTGGGATGGCCGCTGGTAGTTAGCGGTAAAGCCCTAATACAGATAACTGTTTGCTTATTGTAAAAATACCGTAGCCCCTGGTACACTTCTGCTCGAAAAGGCGATGGAGTTAAGTAGAGAATAACAAGTTCCACAAGCTTCAAAAAGTTCGTTGTAAAATTTGTAGTTGGCTGTTAGGCGTTCACACATATTAGACGCAGTAATCTACTGAAAAAAATGGCGGTAATCCATTTGGCTAGACCTCTTTCGTGAGATGCGCATCGCTGATGATTCTCACCGAGGACGAAATAACTGTATGCTGGTCCCCGGCTTTTCCAAATAAATTGACCTAACTTACAGGATGAAAGCTCGATTGACCAACCTTTGTTTTTATAATGAGGGGTAGCTACGAAGTGACTCTGCCGACCTCTTCAAGATAGACGTCTTTGAACATTCCGTTCTCCAATGTGTCGAAACTGATTTTAGTGGGACACTTTGTTCAGGCTCAAGAGTGTGCCTGGTATTGTTCTGAACTGAGTTGATGGTGCCTAAAACTCAGGCTTAAATCGTCATCGATACTCAGAAAACTATAGTTTTCACAGCGATCACACAATGTGAATCATTCTTTCAGCGGGTTTGTCTGCTGAGTTTGAAATCGAAAGCAAGAAACGACCTAGAGTAAATCACAACTAGTCTACGGTTGGTAATCTTCAGTACTGGGACTGAAATAACAGTGGCATCGAAGTGCTCCCAGTTTCGAAACCATGGTACCAAGATACACTATTCATAAGGTTGCTGAAAATTCTTTAACAGCTCATGACCGGTTTCGCTCTTTTTGGGACGCACTCTCGCGAAACCGAATTTGCTTGCAAATGAGTGTATTTCGCTATAATGTTATCAGGATATTTCACGCTGAAAGGAACGAATTTTGAAACAGTGCATTCCACGTGAGTCTCACATTTTAAAAAAGAGTACGTCGAAGAAGAACAAGTGGTTGACACACAAATAGTTGCCTTCCGCTCTTCTATTCACGTTTTTCTAAACTTCAGATTCGTTAGCGATCATACCATTCCTCGTATGAATACCCACTGGATTATTCGCCCAGTTGTCGTCTGAAAGCATTTCTGCGCATTGTTCTCAACTTGTGGCTGAGATGTAATTGACGAGATCTTACTTGGCTTGACTTCAGTTCTCTGTCGAGTTTGGAGGATGGCGGTAGTTTACAGATCATTGAAACTCTGCCACTGCACTTCGAACGGCCTACGGGAAGAGCAACAACATTTGGAGGTCAGTGTTATTGATTCCATCGGCAACTGGGGGGACTGTGCGCACACATTTCTCGACTGCGGCTTCTGTAGATGAGCTGAGCTGGTCGACCATTTCCTTTTATCTTATCGTTTGAGGAGAACTTTTGAGAGTTCCTGAGTGAAAGTGTGGACGAAGGAACGTGTTTTATTAGCCATATAGCTGCAACACATATTCCTCAGTTAGCTGTGGATACTTGTGAAGTGTCTCTTCGTGTTCGATACTTGCACGAACATGAATACAACTTGACCTGATGTGTTGATAAAGTTCGTAATCCTAGCGCGGGACGCAGGTAGTAGCCGCGTAAATAAAGATGGATGGGAAGTTTAACTGTACACGTTGTGGGCTAAGGTTGCAGGTGGGACAAGAATTATCCCGTGGTCATAGTGCTTGTGACGCGTGATCTAGCTAGTGACCGCCAGAAATACTGGATTCACATACACAAATTCACTTATACTTTACAGCATATTGTCACAGCCTCTTTGGAATGGCAGGTGAGCGCACAGACTGTTGGATTATTTGGATTTCTGGACGGGACTCTCCAGCAGTGCACAGGGAGGTGATCTTCCAAAAGTCCATAAGTACTTATAGCCCCCTGAATTGTGTAGAGGCAACAATTCTTGTTTACATACTCATGACGGAAATCATAGCTGCATATGCTGCAACAATTGTACATCTTTTTAACTTGCCTGAGGTATGATCAAATGAGATAACGATTTTATCTATTCAGTTTGACATATTCATTGACGAAAGTACTCATAAAACCTCCCTTAAGTCTGAATCCGTTAATTTACGTGAATTACGCGGTTCCTGTCCATTAGCAAGCAAGTTGTGCTTTCGGAGACTTGTTGAGTGCTATCTAAGCGGACGAAACCGATTCGAACGAATAAGTTTTTAAGTGACAGAAGCCGTAACCGCAAACTGATGAATTCAGCAGTCTGATGGTGGTATGGGGTTTTGAAATTTTAATCGATATTCTATCCCACAGGTGACATCAATATTTTCGGCGTACTTGACTTTAGTCGAAGAATAAGATCTCGATTATGAAAAGTCACTCCTGGGCGTTGATCGATCATCAAGCCAACTTAAGTCAAGTCATCTTATGCCATATGACAACTGTTTTGATTCCACACTGACAACGGTGTTTCGTGTGAAGGTCGTACATTATTCAGTCGATTTATTATTCCAAGCTTTTGTGTCTGAGAAAATACTGCTCGTCAAACTGCGAAATTAGACTGATAACGGGTAAATAAAAGTACAGGAGCGGTGATTTATCATTGTTGATATTTGTTAACAGACCGTTTCCTCTGAGTAATAGGATAAATAAGACGAGGCTTTCGTGCAAACGTAGAAGGTTCAGTCTGAAAGTTGTTCGTGCGATCAAAATCGGATTTTATAACAGGCCACCGATTCATAACCCTCCATTTTGCTCACTGGCCAGTGAAACCATGAATTTAGTAACCATTTTAAGCAGGGAGGATGTTGGATCTTCTCTTATAGATCTAAGTAACTACGTAC